CAAAAGCTCTCTTTCTCTCTCTCTCTTTCTGTTCCTAATCAGTATTTAAATATGTATATGTGTTTATAATATTATAAAAAGATATGCCATTGTACTTAAAAGAGTCATTCCATGCATGAAGCATTTATATGGCTTTTACAGTTAATGAAATACAATAATTTTCGAATTTGAACCAGAAAAAAGTATTTGTAGAATTGTGTTATTATTCATTTAATTTGATATGATTACTCTTCTTTTATAGGTAATGGAACGAAATAACACAATGGTTACTTTAAGAAAAAAGAATGAATTTTCCAGTGAGTCAGTCGTACAAGATTTAAATACTTTAATAAAGTTCAAGGAAGGCCAACAGCAAAATGTACAGTCTTTGCCTGAAATAAATTTAAACCTTGCCATGTCAGCTACATCGGCTCTCATTAAATACCTGGATGTAATTATTGCTTTATTATATTGAAAAAAGTCAATAATTATGTACATCACAATCTAATACAACATTTTTTTAATAGTTAACATCAGATGAGGGGAACTTGAATCAATATGCCATAGACCAAATAGAGCATTTACGCTATTTAAAATTAGATGCGGCTGCTGTAAAAGCACTTAACATTGAATCACGGAATGACACTCTTTCTGCATTGAATGGAAATGCTCCATCAAGTATTCTAACACTTTTGGATAAATGTAGAACACCACAAGGTCATAGGCTTCTGGCACAGTGGGTTAGACAGCCCCTCAAAGATTTATCTCTCATCAAAGAGAGACATGACATTGTAGAAGCATTGGTAAATGATAATGACTTGCGGTCTGCACTCAGTGATGATCATTTAAGGCGTATACCGGATTTACAAATACTTTCCAAGAAGTTATCCAGGAAGAAAGCAAATTTGCAAGATTGTTATAAGTATGTATGCTTATATTCTTCTTTCTCATTATCTACGTTTTAGGATTTATTAATACTTTCCTTTTATTTTAGAATTTACATGACTGTGTCACAACTACCAAGATTAGTGGAACAAATATCTAGTGTAAATCTACTAGCTTTAAAAGCAATGTTCACTGATCCACTGTCAGAACTTATAAATGATATGGATAAGTATCAACAGATGATTGAACAGACAATAGATTTGGAAACTGCTGAGAAAGGGGACTTCTTAGTGCGACCAGAATTCGATGATGAATTAAAAGGTATTCCTATAAAACATATTTATCCTTGTATAAATTTATATTAATTTATTAGAGTTGTATTTTTAGAGTTGAAGACTACTATGGATGAAACAGAGGAGAAAATTCAAGCACAATTAGGCAAAGTTGCTGCAGATCTTTCAATTGATGCTAGCAAAACGTTGAAACTAGAATCCAATCAACAATTGGGCTATTATTTTCGTATCACACTAAAGGAAGAAAAAGTATTGAGGAACAAAAAGCAGTACACTATTTTGGATTCAAACAAGGGTGGAGTGCGATTTCGAAGCAGTAAACTCAGTGATTTAAACGATGATTATATTGCTTCTAGAGATAAATATATGGTAGAACAAAAAAAAGTCGTAGCAGAAATAATTGAGATTGCAGGTATTTATTACGTCACACATTGTGAAGAACAATCGAGCGTAGCTCGTAATAAATTATTGATTAGTTGTAATAAATTAAGTCATTATTATTATCAGCCGGATATAGTGGATCTATAAAAGCTATTGGAGTTGTGCTGGCTTCCCTCGATGTACTGACTGCTTTTGCTTCCACGGCTGTAAGTGCAAACAAACCTTATGTTCGTCCTAACATGCTACCTAGTACAACAGGTGAATTGAGTCTTATTCAAGTTCGACATCCATGTTTAGAAGTTCAGGAAGGAGTAGATTATATAGCCAATGATGTCAATTTTAAAAGAGGTAGTATCTTTATTATTCTCATTTACGCATATGTACCTTATAATTATTTAAAATCTTACTTTTGTTCCTACAATTTCGTGATACATCGTTATGTTTGTTTTGATAACGCCTTCATACAATATAATATAATATGTAACCATCCATTTAAAAAATTAAAAAGTACCTCCATTTTTCAAAACCTAATGCAAACACAAATATCTTACTTGTTATTGATCATGGAAAAAGTGTCAGAGGAAAACATGATTAGATCTAAAAAAAAGTATACATTGCAAAAAGTAAAATATTTATCAGTCATATTTTTTCAAGATTTAAAGATCATTGACAATTTTTTTATTGAGATTCAAAAAAGAGATTCAAAGTCAAGATGAATTCAACAATTTAAGCATTGTGACAAAAATAAATAGAAATCTATTATTGCAGATGAAAGCCATTTTTGTATCATAACGGGTCCAAATATGGGAGGTAAAAGCACATACATACGATCTGTTGGTGTTGCTGCATTAATGGCTCATATTGGAAGTTTTGTTCCTTGTGATGAAGCAAAGATATCTTTACTAGATTGTATATTAGCTCGAGTAGGTGCTTATGATTCACAATTAAAAGGACTTTCTACATTCATGATGGAAATGATAGAAACTGCTGCCATACTGAAGGTACGTTCAAATAACTAACATTTTGTTTTATATAGAAAATAATTGTATTTAAATTTGTTAATAGACAGCTACAAGTAACTCTCTTGTATTGATTGATGAATTAGGGAGAGGTACATCGACTTATGAAGGTTGTGGTATAGCATGGTCAATTGCTGAGTAAGTTTCAAACATTACTTTAATATCTTTATCTCTGAATTGAAATGTTTTGAAATATAAATGCTTTTGCAGGTATTTGGCAAGGGACGTTAAAAGCTATTGTCTTTTCGCAACACATTTTCACGAAATTACAAAATTGGAAGAAGAAATATCCGCTGTTCAAAACCAGCATGTTACAGCCCTTGTTAATGACAATAAATTAACTCTATTATACAAAGTGAAACCAGGTGTTTGTGATCAGAGTTTTGGTATACATGTTGCTAAAATGGCAAATTTCCCACAGGATGTAATAGAGGTAAACATTTCGCACACAAATTGTTGTGCATTTGAACTACAAAGTGAAATTTATTTTTTAGTTCGCTAAACGTAAACAAGCAGAACTCGAAGATCACAAAGATACTGCTTTCGAAGTATCTGTTATTCCACAAAAGAAACAAAAACTTATGAAGGTAACATTATCATATTATAATCTTCTAGTATTGATGGAAAATTAAAATATCATTTTAAAACAGTCATTTTAATAATCGGAATTAATTTATTATAGGAAGCTAAGGAGCTTATAACGGAATTTATTAATAAGTGCAAAAGATTAGATGAATCTCATTTATCTGATGAACAGATGAAGAACAAAATCTCAACATACAAAGATGAACTTCGATCTCACAAGAATCCTTATCTAGTAGTTCATTAAATTTTTATTTTTGCATAAACATGTATCGTATTTTTACAGATCACATTTTTCAAATAAAAATAAACATACAATCATATTTAAGATTTCCCCTAACAATGTAAGCAATTTTTACAGTAGTTTATAGTCGCGAAGTAACATGTAGAATGTCTTTCCATATTTAGTACGTAACATTTGCTTTTACCATGTAATATTGCATGTTACCGATTACATAATAACCATCATAGTAATTCTTGTTGAGGTATCGCCAGTTGATAACATATTGATTCACTATTTTCACCATTGTAACCTTGAACTTGACTAGCGTATTCACCGTTTCTGGGGAGTGTCTGCAATCTTGTATTAGTAACTGTTAATTGTACCTTTTGTATCGTTTATATTAATAATTATGGATCCAGCAGTCTTCCCCGAAGAAATATGGATAAAAATTTTATTATATTGTGATGTACCTGATATTATTGCTTTCGGTAGCACATGCAAATACTTAAGAAAAACGTCAGACACAGACTACCTATGGTAAGTTTGAGGTTAAGTTTATGTCAATCTTACGTTAAAGTTCAATAACTTAATTGATAAATAAATAGAATCTCATATCATTTTAAGTTTTTGATAAGAAAAAAAAGTTATATTTATTCAGTGGTAGAAAATGATCAAAATCTGGAAAGCTCTAATACCTGAAATATTAATAAAGTACCATTCTCTATAGATCCCAAGAAATTGTAAAAGCACAATTATTTATACAGCATGTAATAGGAAAGTTATAAAGAAAGCAGATCATATGCGAAATTTTGTGATCATTTAAAGTCAATAATTCCTAATAAAGTACTATCCTGTAACTGAGAGAGAGAGAAAATAAATATCCAAATTTTGATAATTTCCTATCATATTCCTTCATGAATTGATACACATTTTAAAAGTACATTGTTTATTACTTTTTTTTATTATATTATTATCTTTTTATTACTGATTATTACATTTTTTATAGGAAAATGAAATGGCAAGAACTGATTTCAAAAGTACACTTTAGGTTTCCAGACATAAAGTGTCTACAACTACTTAGTGTTAGTTTTAAAGCAATGTGTTACAGATTACATATGGTACTCACATTAGGAGAAAATGTACCATTTCCAAAATGTTACCACTGTAGTGGTTACACATGTCAGAGAAATTGTGTTGAAGGTACCAGTGCTAAAGTAGTAATTGAAATTGGAAACAAATACACATGGGTTATTACACCAAATTTTGGCTTGAGAAGACATTTATCAATGTTTGGTATACCTAAATATAATAATGAAACGCACTTGGAACAAACTCAAACACAAAATGTTCCAAGTAGTAGTACACGCTCAAAGTGTGATGGAAAGTTATTGGCAAAAAAGCTAAAATTGCTGAAGTTAGAAACTAAAGTTCCAAGACCCAGTGGTCCATTTTGTATTTTCTGTAATCCGGTAAAATTATATAGAGAAAAGAAAAGATTAACCACACATCAGAATGATCCAACATGCTATACGAGGCCAAATCCAACTTATGAGAAACTTATAAATGGATATTGTACTGATACTGTTGAAGTTCTTGGAATTCCAAATGTCGATGTTGTCAGTCCAGCAGAAGCATTGAGTGATGGATCTTTTACAGTTCTCAAAACATTTGTTGATCACTTGTTCCAGCAGATGCATTTAACTTCAACCCTAAGAAAACCTAATGCAGTGCTTATGTTCTCTGAACCATTAGCAATGCATCCAACACTCAGAAAACAGTTGCTGCACTATTTATTCCAAGAAGTTAAAGTAGCAAGGTATAACAAAAACGAAATATACAATTTTGAAGAGTTACACTGTCCAACACTTATTTTGCATTTCATTGAAAAACAAAGAAAAAATAAAAATTTGTTGGATAGTGAAATTAAAGAAATATTATGATAAAGATGTTATTATCAACTTTGCAGAGTGTGTTTGGTACCTAAACCTTTAGCAGCGTGTGCAATGTTAGGTGTGGAGACCTGTGTCATTGTTGATAGTGGAGCTCTTAGCACAACAGTAGCTGTTGTGATTGGAGGCCGTGTCGTACCAGAACGTTGGAGATTGTTGCCTGTAGGTGGTTGGCATGTAGCTTACCATTTGAAGCAAGCTATGCATTGGCAACCAAAGGAGTATCATCAAATTCCTATATCGTATTTGGATACCCTAACTGTTAAAGAAAAATGTAGACTAAGTTATAATATTAAAAATGAAGAAAAACGAGTAGGACAAAAATCCAAAGAACATATTAATCTTAGCTTTGATAGCTATGCTGCTGCTTATAAGCAACACTGGGTATGTAAATTCTGATATTATATTATATTTGTTAATTTGAAAAAGTGTTTACAAACGGTAAAGTAAAAATATCTTTCAGAGAGTTTCCTTCGATTCAGAATTATATATTGCTCCTGAAATGATGTACATTAATCTTGGCTTACCACAAGTAATAAAAGATGTTACATCTGGTTTGTCAGAAGATTTAATGTATGATTGCCTCTCAAATATCTTGCTTACTGGAGGCAACACTGATCTTTCAGGTTTCGAGTTAAGATTAACTAAAGATTTACAAGAGTTGTTGTCTGAACATAGTAAAATTCTAGAAGTGAGAAATTGTCCTGGTACACATAGTTGGCATGTTGCTATGGGTTCCACTTATGTGCCTTTAGCTGTACATCCTGGTAAGCACATACAATAGTGTTCAATTATTTTCTTAAATATTAAATTTTCTATTTCATACATTCATACAATTATTAATTTAGGTAAAACTCCTCCTGAATATGTAGAAGGTAATTCATTTTGGTTATCAAGGGAAGAATATGTCTTGTTCGGATGCGAGTCGCTGGAGCAGTAAAACAATAATAAGTGATTCTATGAAATGTTAGTACCGCACTTATTACATAAATGAAAAATCCTCGCATGCGCAAAAAATCTTATGAAAGTAAAAATTACCATCAAGGAACAAGTCTTTTCATCAGTTGCCTTTAAATAAGACGGATCTTGTATTAATAGATCATTGAAAAGACATTCCATGATGAGACACTTCAGAAAAATTCAATATTGGTTGGTATTTATTATTTACAAAAATCTTGCGGATTGTTTTTATGTGCTTATTTTATGCATTGTGTTGCAGATACATTGGAACCCAACCTCATACAAGGGGAGATTTAAACTCTCTCAGCATGTACGCAGTGAATAATAGGGTAGACTGAAAACTAGGTATTTAAGGTAGACATATCTCCGTGCCTATGTTGCTATTCATAAATCTAACGTTATCCTTTCTCCATGTATCCTCATATGCTGCTAAAAATTGATCTGCAATAACAATGAATCTCTAGAAATTCTTTCTCAAAACGCTAATACTATATTTCGTTTAAAAAAGAATAGCTGAAATGCGTTCATACTTATAGTAGCTGTTTACCCCATCCCAATTACTATAAACTTGCAACATAGAAATAAAATGAACAGCTGTTCTGACTATGAATGTATCTCAGATGCTTTCTTCCGAGAAATAGACTGTCATTACTATATTGTCTAACCCAATTTTGTGTTTCAATAATCAATATGTCATTCTTGTAGATTTTAACGTTTCTTAATTCATTTTAAAAATTAAGTGACTGAAATAAAATTCTGAACCTTTTTCCATCATAAAAAGTTACAACGCAAATTTCGTTTTCGTTAAAGCAGAAAATACTTTTAAAGTTGAAAATTGTTCAATTTGTGTTTAGTGCATCAAAATTTATAAGAATTGCATATTGAAATGAAAAAAAAACATTAAAAATTGTTAGACAATATTATTATACGTTTACGGAATGTTATACTCAATTACAAAACCTTTTAGTCTCATTCATATTAACCCTTGAATATCCTACTGTACAAAAATTTTAACTTTTAAATGTTTATGTACTAAATTTAGTACATAATCAATTTTATGCGCTAAAATTTTAATGAATCTTCTTTTCCATAAAATTTTATNATTTATAAGAATTGCATATTGAAATGAAAAAAAAACATTAAAAATTGTTAGACAATATTATTATACGTTTACGGAATGTTATACTCAATTACAAAACCTTTTAGTCTCATTCATATTAACCCTTGAATATCCTACTGTACAAAAATTTTAACTTTTAAATGTTTATGTACTAAATTTAGTACATAATCAATTTTATGCGCTAAAATTTTAATGAATCTTCTTTTCCATAAAAT